GTCGCCGTGCTGGTCGGCCTGGCCTGGAGGAGGAGGCTGTCAGGTACGGAGCCGGGGCGGGGGATCCCCGGGCTGCCCCACGCCCTGTCCCGCAGCCCCCAGCGCTGGGCCGTGGGCTCCCCGAGGGGGGCTGGCAGGGACACTGGTGGGGACTCAGGGAGGGAGCCGGCCGCTCACGCTGGGGTCTGGTCCCCTCCCCGCGTGCTGGGTTTGTCCAGGGACCCCGAGTCCAGGTGTCCGTGCTGGGCCAGGCCCCGGAGAGCGACCAGAGCCGGCTCCTGCCCTCGCTGAAACCTGCCTTCTCCCCGCAGGGCCCCAGGCGGATCTGTACTCGCCGGCGCCGGGTGAGTGAGACGACCCCCCGCTGGGCTGGGCGCTGTCCGTGTCCCCCCGCAGAGACCGGCCTGTCCGCGGCGCTGAGCTGTGCGGGGTGGGGAGAGCTGGGGGGCAGGGTCTGGGCACCTCGAACGCCCCGAGGGCACTGGCCTGCCGGGACGGTCTCTGTCCTATGGGTCTCCCTGAAACTCGAACCCCACTCCCACTCCCCGGGGCCCCTGGCAGGAGGTCAGCTCCCACGCGCCTTCCCCAAATGCAGCCTGGAAACCAGGTGTCAGGGACTGCCCGCGGGGGGGGGGAATTAACCCCTGGAACAGCCGGCCGCGGCCAGGGTGATGCTCCGTCGCTGGCAGTGCTTAGCTCACGGGGGGGGAGGGGAGGGGGGTCACTCCCAGATCTGCTCTGGGGATCCTTGTGGGGCCGGTTGCTGGCCCGGGCTGTACAGGACGGGGACGAGATGGTCCCTTCTGGCCTTGGACTCGGTGAAGGGGGCTGTTGTTAGCAGCCCCCAAGACTTTAACTGCCCCCCGTTAGCGCATGCTGAGGGCCCGGGTCTTTGCCGTGACGGGCGCTGCGGAAGGGCTGGGTGGGTGGGTGGAGCCGGGTACCTCGGTCTGACATCGCCCCGTGAGATCCTCAGGCCTGGACCGGCCTGGGGTGCTCTGCACGTCCAGCCCCAGTGCATTGTGAGGATTATTACCCCACAGCTGGGTCTGTCTGGCCCTGCCCCTGGCCGGCCCCTGCCCGCCTTCCCTGCCCCTGCCCAGCCCCTGCCCCCCTTCCCTGCCTGGCTGGCCCCTGTCTCCCTTCCTGGCCGGCCCCTGCCCCCCTTCCCTGCCCCTGCCCGGCCCCTGCCCCCCTTCCCTGGATGGCTGGTCCCTGTCCCCCTTCCCGCCCGGGCCCTGTCCCCCTTCCCTGCCTGGGCTGGGCCGTTTCTTGCCTCTGTGTCGCAATCTGACCAGCCCCCGTTTGTTCCCCGTGGGGCGGGGAGGTGGGGGGCTGAGCCCAGGGGAGTGTATCACACCCCGCCAGACACTGACCCCCTTCCCTTCTCCCCCCACAGCCAGCGAGCATGGATCGGACAGCTCCATCACTGGTACGTGGGGGGGACTCGGTCCCAGGGGAGTCAACGAGGGCTCGGTGGAGACCCCAGGCCTGGCCCCTCCGACAAACCAGCCCTGAGCTCCAGGCCGGGGTGCTGGGTGCAGGGCCGGGTCTGCGGCTGGGTGTATCTCCCCTCTGCAGGGAGGGGTTCCAGGCAGCAGGGGCACTGGGGGGTGTCTCTGGGAGGGGGAGAGCTTGGGGGGGTCTCTCTGGGGAATGGCCCCAGGGGAACCCCCCCACCAGCCCCTCTCTGACCCATACGGATGCAGCTCGGGGCAGACCCTGACTCTCCCTTGTCTCCCTCCTGCAGCTCTAACATAGCCGGTCGGAGCCGGAGGAGACTCCAGACTGTGAAGACACGGACTGACCAGGGGGGTCCGGCCCCCCGCCTCTCCTCTGCGTTATCTCCCTGTTACTCCTTGTGTACGACCTCGGCGCTGTGCCTGGTGAACAGCCCCACGTCTCCTGAACCTCCTGCCTCCCTGGGACCCACTGCCGGGGGGCCGCCTGCCCCGAGCTCTGCGCGTCGGCCATGGGACGCGAACTGGGCAGCCCCGATGGGCACGGTCGGCCCCATTCACTGCATGGTTTATTTAGTGTGTGAGCCCCTCGGGGCAGGGACCGCAGCCTCCTTATCTCTGGGGTGCACGGAGCCCCCTCCCAGCAGCCACAGGGGAAGGGGGGAAGGGCTCTTCATGTGGAAAACCTCCATTTTGGGCCCAAAACTGAACACTTTTGGCTGAAAACCACCAAATTCCATGTGGCAAAGCTGCCGCAGTCACTCGTGGGAGCTGGAGTTCGGGTGCCCCGCGCTCCCACTCGCTGTAGGCCGGGGTCCCGCGGTGCATCATGGGAGTCCCTGCTGGTGGGAGCAGTGCGGTCTGGGAGCCAGGACTCCTGGGTCCTATTCCCAGCTCTGCCGCTGGCTCGCTGTGAGGCACTGAGTGATTCCCGCCCCGCTCCGTGCCTCAGTTTCCCCCTCTTGAAAACAGGGAGAATACTTTACTTCC